ACTTTTTTGTATAAACTACTGCATAATCAAATCGACACCTCATGGCTACTTTAAAAAATTAACTTTCACGCTCCACTGGTATTTCTACGCATCTCACCGTTTTTGAGAATAGTTTAGGCGAGCTCTAACTTAGGAATGACTTCACCTATGTTACATAGGTATTGCCCAGAATTTTAACAATGTAGCATTTCATGCGACATCAACAATGACCCCTTATCTGTCATTTTAGATAAAACTGCAGAAGTGTTTTATAAAATAAATTAATTATATTTATTTTCTTTCTTTTTCTGGCTTGTTTTATCCTTTTTTTTCCTATATATGTATAGCCGGATCTACGTCAATTCATCGACCGACAATTCATCGCGCAAAAATTCAGAGCCGACATTTCATCGTAAGACGATTTACCGCTACGACAATTCACCGCCACGACAATTTGTCGCCAGCCATTTTTTAGAATTCATTTTATGGTTTATTTTATTTTTTTTATTATAATCAAAATTTTATTTTATATATTTTTTAGTATAGGTAATAAAAAACAAGTAGGTATATTGAAGAAAAAAAATATATTATAAAAAATTGTAGTTGCTAATTATTACATTTTAAATTGAATTAATATAATATAATAATATTAAATAATTTAGACTTGCATTCGAAAATTATGCGCAATTCCTCGAAGATATTCCATGGTATTACGAGCGTCGTAGGATTCTGTAAGTAGTTTTAAACGACGTGCAGAATCTTTGTAAATTTTTTTTTTTGAGTAATTTCATTACCTGCCACAATTTGCTCTATTTTCAATTTGTTAAGGCTTTCCTCCTTTTGTAAAGCCTTAATTAGCCTCCAAATGTTGGGATGTGCAATGGAAAGAATTGAACTGAAACTGTTATGCCATCCTTCAACTGCATTATTGGTTCTAGCAATTCCCTCTCTGGCTGCATTGTAACAACTCCAAGAAGATATAGGAAATTTTGGTAACCGTCTTCTTCCTCTTCTGTCTAATCTACCAATCCACGTGTCTTCAAAATAGTTTATTAAATCTGCTAAGTCCTCGTTTTCTGTATAGAATTCACTTTCCAATAATAAATCAAAAGCACTCTCTACATCGTCTTCAGGAACATAAGCAAGTGCAGCCAGAAGTCGCAAATTTGATGAAAACACTTCTTCATCTACATATCGCCTCTGAAATCCGGTATTCTGGATTTGTCTCCATATATACTGAGAAAAATGAAAAAAGCATCCACGAATTTGAGTATTAGGGAATTCACTTCGTACCGCATTCATCGCTGCTTTTTCGAAATCCATTAAAAAAGATGTAGGGCAAAGTTCAGGTTTCAAATTTTTTAATGCTGCATATAAACGTCTATAGCTTTCTTCTCTTTTATTCGGCAGAATTGCATATACTGTTGGAATGGTATTTGAATATTTGACGCCATGGATTGTATATATTTGGGAAGACATATTAGGGGCTGTTGAAAAAGTTCCATCTCCGTACCAGTGTTCACACTCCAACATGTAGTCAAGATTTCTTGCTGTTGTAAACACTAATATTCGATCTTCTGATGGGCCGCTGTCGTACATTAAAAATAACTGACCACTGCTTGACAGTGTATATTCCTGTGGAATAACTAATTGAAGCAGAGAATTTGGAATCGCAGGAATTCCTTCTGTCTTTTCCTTTTTTCGTTGAATAGTTCTTTTCATTGCACTCACTTGTGGTAATCTGGCTGCAGCCGATGATGATAAACCCTCGGAAACCTCTGCAATGATTTGTTGAGTAGTGGAACCACTTTGTTCAGCTAAAACTTTCATTTTTTTAACAGCTCTTCTTACTTCGGCATCAGCACTATCTAACACATGATTATGTTCGGTACTCTTCACAATTTCATCGCCTATGGTATGAATGCGACCGGTACATCTTCATTTATGATATAGAGAACATTTCCAAATACCTTTTTCTCTAGAAATTTTTTCTCTAGAATGTGTATGGCCATTGTATAAAAGCATTTTGTGACCTCTTTAGCTGTCAACAAATTGTAATGGCATTTTCAAATTTTAAAATGATGTAAACTCGTACAAAGACAAAATAAGAATGATTACAGTTCGTTGGTATTTCTTATTTAAACCTTATATACATATATTATAAACAGGGCATCTAAAATACTAACTTACACAAACAAGCTATTGAAGATAATCCTTTTTAAAATTAAATATTGATTGCACTATGAATTTCTCCTTGAAAGGATTAATAAAGGATAATTATAATTCTCTATTATTATTAACTAATGTGGTAACTTACCCGAATTGGCTAATGAAGATAATCCTTTTTAAATAGTAGGTAAAGGACTGTTGAGAACCTGCGACTGCCACTTATACACTTTAAATTGGCTTATCAATAATACATTATTGATATTTATTATATTTTTCTTAGTAAAAACTACTTGATTAGCAGAAAAAAAGTAAATCATATTTTTGTGTAATTTAGAGTAAGATATTTTGTAATTTTTTCGAAAAAATAATTTTATTTGGTTCTTATAAGAAAAATTCAATATAGCACAAAAAAAATTGTTTGTTTTTCAGACATACTGTATAAATCATAGATACAATACGATATTTTTGTGGCGATGAATTGTCGTAGCGATAAACTGTCGTAGCGATGAAAAGTCGTGGCGATGAATTGTCGGCTCTGAAAGGTCGCGCGATAAATTGTCGCGCGACGAATTGACTGGATACCTGTATAGCCTTAGGCCTGTTCTGTTGCGCCTTCTTTATATACGCCACAAAATAGCTGTTAAATAAATACACTTACCTGAAATTAAGATCGTACACATTAAAATATGTATTTTTTTGATTAATTATTTAACAACGATATGTTCACAAAAACAAACCTAAACAGTAGAGGAGTAAAATAAGAACTATATATCTAGTACTTGTATTTTAATTTGCGTGTCAAAACTCTAAAAATGGATTAGTGCAAGTCTATTGTCTTTTATTATTTGATCAATTTGTTATTTGCACATTTATTTCCTTTTCAGATAAATAGATTAATCTGTCACTCATCATTTTGCAGGGTCGTGTTCTTTCTAAGAAAAAAATTCCAAAATTGATTTTTTATATTGCAAATGAGATTTTAGAGGTTTATGATAAGATTTAAAACAGGTACACAAGGATTTGCAATACTAATAGTCTAAGAGCTAGGGTTATTTTGAGTAATGTGTTGAGCACGAGGTTAAAAATTTGTTTCTCTATAGTTCGGAATACACTAAGAATGCAGTATGGCTATAGGGTGGACCATTTGTTTAATTATTAGAATTTGACAATGCCTGGAATCGATGTCTTTTAGGGAACGTATAAATGTGAAAAAAATTAATTTTTAGGTTCCTAGGAGAGGGGGAAATATTTATAATTTACAAAATTATTTTTGCAAACTATTTTGACAGTGTGTAATTAAACTGGTATGACAATTTGTTTCTTTATGCTGTAAAAACATCAGAAAAAAGTCTGGGTCATGTAGTGTTTTACTTGCAGGTTTCTATAAGCTGGTAAAATTTAATAATTTTTATTGTTTATTTCCCATATTTTCTTGTATCATCATTTTTGCAACATCCTATACTGAAATAAAATGTCTTCTAAAGTTACTCAATATCTCAGGCGCGACCGATCTAATCACAAACGTTATTCGTCTTCTTAAGTCAACTAGCTACTTGATGTTGGCTTCTTTAGCCCATTGCAGACTTACTACGATCAGGCTAAAGCAAAATCCTAAATTATGTTGCAGGACTGTTAACGAAAGCATTTTTAAAAGTGCAACCCCACTAAATGCCTTACATGCCTTTTCCAAAACCGGTATTCAGCCTTTTAATCCTGATATCTTTGAAGATTGGATGTTCAATGCTTCATTGACCACCGAAAATCCGGCGCCTGGACTCTGTAACGACCAAGTCGAAACAGAATCTGAGTTAAGTGATCATGGTGCAGATAATCGACAATTGTTAAATGAAGACAAACAGGTCATCAAAGCAAATTATTCATTACCTATCACCAGTACCTTTAGCGCTTGCCAAAGCTAAAAACAAAAAGAGAAGGTAACGAGGAAAAGTTGGATTGTTAAATGGAACACCAGAGGTTAAAGAAATTGTGGAAATAGAAGAAGAAAAAGCTGCACAAGAATGATGAAAACAAGCAAAACAAGCTAAAAGAAAAATAGTAGAAGAGATCTTAAGAAGTACACACACCAATCAACGAATAGACTTGCCAAGAAATTTAAAGGAACAAAAAAATGAGGATAGCGAAAATAAAGACACAGAATTAAAAGACGAAAGCGACCCATTTCATTGTTACAGCGATGAGTTCGAAACAGCATACCTATAGTGTAACGACTTATATACACATTTCAAATTTAAAGAAATGTGGATCAAGTGCCACTTGCCACTCATGGGGCCACAGTGAATGTGCGTAAGTTTCTTTAAGCATAAACAAGTTTGTATGTGATATCTGCATGTAGACTTCTTTGGATATTTTTTAGTTTTGTTTTATAACGTTTTTTTATTTAATAAATAGTTTAGTTCGCAAATAAATATAAATATCGTGGGATGCTGTCATAGGAAACTAAAGTCGATTTCAAGCCATCTACCAACTAGGACCGGTTGATTAAAGTATTAACCGATTATGTTAAAGCGGTTTGGTATGCTTTGGTTTTCATGCCATGACGTCATAAACAAACCCTTTGTGACGTCACTCATTTGTCAAATTATAACCGGTAATAACTAAGTACTTCAGTTGGTTATAGACAAAGAGGTTTTGTATAATCTAAGGTTATAGATGATCTACCTCTTTTATTATTATCTATTAACTCTTTCTCAAGGTTATTCTCATCGCTTGTCTTATGAAGGTGAGTGTTCTGTGGTATTGTGCTTGTGCCTTGTCAAGCCTTGTGCTCGTTGTATAAGTGTTTTGCGGTCGGCTTCATTTGGTTCTTGGGGGAAGTTAAATAAAATTAAAAAATGGAAGAAGAAAAGTACCAAATTAGTATAAATTGTAAGGGTAGGGATTATTTGGTAGTGGTAGACGATTTAGAAACTGCTACTCAACTTGTAAACGGTATGTACAAGTATTATGTAAAGTAAAAACAGTTTAAACATTTATAAAAATTGTAAATTATGATGTTGCTTTGAGCTACATTGAGTCAAATCCACAAAGGTGCACATTGCCAGATGACGTAGGAAGAAAGTAACCGAGGAAGAAACTGAGGAAGTAACTAATGAAAAAGAACATATTACAGAAATATGGACATGAAGAAAACCAACTGAACGAGACATAGAGACAACAAAAGTTTTGTTAACATTAAGGCAAAGAGACTTTAGACTTTTTGATGACAAGAAAACATCCAAGAGAAAATTATGGAATGAAATAGCAGATACTCTTAAACAGTATGGTTTTAACGTAGGTCCGAATAGAGGGGAAAGACGCAGGCAGAAATTTTCTAACCTCATAAAATCTTACATAAGTTATGTAAAAAATCAAACGGTAACAGGTGCTGAAAGAAATGATAATATACCGCCTTTCTATGAGGAATTACATTCCATTTTAGGTATTTTTATACAGTTTTGAAACAAAATATGTAATGTATTTATTTGGGATAAATTTGTTTTTATCTTTATTAATGCTTTTTAGGGTCTAAAAAAAAGTAAACACTAAAAAATCTCCAAGATTCTTTAAGCAATGATGACAGTGAATCAAACAGGGATCAGCAAAATGACCAAAAAGAAGAAACTGAAGAAAATAATAGTGCAAATGTTGAAGAAAGACCATCACTTCTCAAATAGATAAGTCACATTCTCAAGATTCACAAAACAGGTTTAAAAAGGTACACCTCAGACAAAAACTGATTCATTATTAAACCAATTTCAAGAAGACAGGCAATTACAAGAGAAACAATTTAATTTTTTCAAAAACAAGCAGAAAAAGCTGATCAGCACAGAGGAAGGTTTCTAAGAATTTTAGAGAGTGCTTACGTTATAAAAAGAAAAAATGATTTGGAGAGTGAATCCGACTAGGTATCTACCTACTATGAAATAGGAATTAGCAGTTTTTTATTTTTTTAGCTACTTATTTTTGTCTTCAATAGATTTGATTTTTATTTAATAGAATAAAATAAGTGGGCGTAGAAAAAGTATAGTACGTTACACGAGTTGTAAGCCTATTACCTACTCGTGAAATGTACGTACTCGGCGCTGCGCGGCTTCGTGCGTAAACTTTTTCACTTCTTGCGTAATGGGTTACTTACAACTCTTGTTACGTAATATACTATTATAAACGGAAATACAATATTGTCACATATAATTGTGTAACAGAAAACGTATATAGGAAGATATTACCAGACCAACTCAAATATTCTTAATTCCACGCCTATTCAATAGATTCCTCATAAGAAATGCGCAGTTCATATGCATATTTTATAGATACCTGGCCAGAAATTAAGCGCTGCTTGTGAATAATATATATGCACATGGCGCGATGTGAAAGTTGGGTATGCATGGCAGTCAACGCGTTAACTCAGAAATATGGTTCCTAATAACGACAAATTAACATTCAGAAGAAGAAAGCAAGTTTTGAAAACTAATGTTAATTATTACGTGCGTACCATGCAGTGATGCCAGGTCATTCGGATCCAAATTGCATCGGCATACTTCCTTTCCTTTCCTGCATTTTACTCACTTTAAAATGAAATTCGTCCAAATTATCGGTGTCTTACGGAGAAGTCTGAATCAAATTATTGAAAGTACATTACAATAGTACATTGTATAAAACACCAAAATTATGGTATTAAACGATAATTATTGTACATCTGGCAACTTCGTAACACTTTTATTATACACACGGAAAATAAATCGAAAATTGTGTAGGTAACTGGAGCGACACGAGACAAATATATGAAAAGCACGAAACAATAAAGGACAGCATATAGAGCTGTACACCGATTCAAAAATAGGTACCTTTAAACAATCAGCCACCTACTAAAATAATGCTAAAATCATCTCTAAAACAGAGAGGCAGCACTGTTTTATGGTTTTATGGTGACATCTACTTAAAAATAGATGTACTAGACAATTACAGATATTCATAGACAATTCTCTACTTTGACAAATAAATAATTGAAATATTTCTTAATTGTAATTCCGCTTAGATTTGATGATAAAATGCCCAATAAAATTTAGAAATATTTTGGCGGGATACTTGGAAAAAATTTGTAGAATGTAATCTTCTACTTTTTAGCTTTGATAAATTAAAAAGTAGGAGATTTCATTCTCCAAACCCTATACTTAAGGCTGGTAGAAGATTAATTTTAATACATTTATCGGAATTTAAATGCAATCGGAAATGGTGAAACTGCGGCCTTAATACCTCTTTTGCTCATAGATGTATTGTTAATACATCTGTCTGGAACACTATCAAGTATTTACCTAAGCTCTCTGAGATTTTTATATTTAGCTTGGCATTATATAATACTTGAGTATGTGTTTCAAAAATCTTTAAAATATATTCAATAGTCGTTTCAGCCTTTTTAGTTTTTTGCAATTTTACCAAAGAAGATAAGGTTCAAAGAATAACAAATTATTTGTGGTACTTACTCAGCAGAAAAAGTAAAAAAATATGCAGTTATATAAGTTTGAGTTGTTGGTTACAGGTCCGCTTTAGGAAAGAATTATTACTGGAGGACTACTAATTATAATTACTTGGACACGACAGGCCTGTGACCTGTGAACGTAAAGAGAGCTTAGCTGTAGGTAATTCACTTTAAATTAATTTAAACATTTGGAGACGTCGACTTCATTCATTTAATTATTCATTTGTTTATAAATCTGCCAGACTCTGTTCCTCAAACATACATTTACGTTTTGTGTATGTACAAGATAACATCGTCGTTAGATTAGAAGTTTGTCGTCTTATGTCTACCATGAAAATTATGAAAATACGTAAAAAATAATAGTTTCATGTTTGGATTATTGAATTAACTAATATTTATCTTAAATTGTTACGGTTTTTTAAATAAATATTTAATTATGTCGTATGCATTGTTTAATAAACACATACAAAGAGTCAGTAATTAGTAAAACCGAAATTTGTTTTAAGCGTGCAATTATATAACAAATAAATTGATGACATAATTATATTCTATGGCGAAATTTGGAAGAAGAGATACATCAAGCGTTAAATATAGTAGTCCAACTAAACAATGATATTAGATACTTTTTAAAATAAACAAAACAAACCGCGGGACACGCCATCTTATTTGTATCTGTAACGTGTGGAGGGTGGATTGCCCCACGGCATTTAGGGCTCACAAGGCCTATTGTGCATTCTCCTAAATTGATAGTTAGATCATCAGCAAGCCTACAGATTTAGTGTAGCTGACAATGTTGACGAGAGGTGCTTCTTTTATATCGGTCGGTGACAGCCCAAGTAACAATTTGATATTTTATAAAATCTGAAAATATTTACATAACAAAATATTAGCTAAGAACATTCTTTCAACAGTAATAAACACAAAATGGACGCAGTATTATAGAACTATTTGGTTAATGTGTAAATTGTATAAGATTTGTTGAATGCAGTTACCGGACAGTTACTATACATTTACACAGACTTTAAACAAATGTTTTTTAAAACTTTTATAACTGTTTTATAAATTTTCAATTTTGAGGTTATGTTGTATATCAAAATCAGTAATACCTCAGTTTTTTAAATGTATCTGGTGAAAAATTAATTCTCGATTTGTCATAAAATGTTTATATAACTATTTTTTTAAAGTAATATTATGAGTTTAAGAAATAGTTTTTATTTGTATAACTAAAGAGTGGTAAAGGTGACACAATCACTATAAAGCAATTTAATTTTATTAGCTGAAATATAATAGTCGTATTAATGTTTATGTAACAATTTTATAGTTACCGTAAAAACTATTTTATAATTTTGCTGTAAGAATATTTTAAAAACTAATTTATATAACAATTTAGTTTTAGAGAACAAAATAGTAGTTTCTGAAATTTTAGTACAACAAATTAACATTCCAGAAACAACAATATAATATCAATAAAATATAATAGCCTTGTAAATTATAAAGCTACTTTATTAGTTGGGAGGCAATACTCGCCGAACATAAATTTTCTAATAAACGAGTGCTGAAAGAAATTATAGACGATATGCTCGATGGTATTCATCTTCTTGTTTGCACCTCCGATAGTACTATGATATATAGATGCTTCCGTACTTGGCAATGACCAGACAGAATGCCTGTGACCAAGAGCAGATTCTATCTAGTCATAGTCGTAGTATTTGTTTGCTGTAATGTTGTCGGGATAACTTAATAACTTTCTGGCAACTCTGCAGCTTCTTGTTTCATCCCATCTTCCCTTGAATTTCACAAGCGAACGTTATTTATTTTTATTGGGTTTGTCACTATGATTGGAAGAGCCAGATCCAAAAAATATTTGGTTGGTTGCCTTCTTAGCTAGTAAAGCAGTAAGATGGTTAACGTTCGATGTAGCGTGACTATTGATACATATTAACAGGTTCATCGCCATGGCATACACCGGTGTCTGCTGGGTTAATTTTCGTATGGGCCAAAGCAGACACCGGTGTCTGCCTCAGTTTAAAAACTTTATCGGTTCCTCCTGGCCTGGAGGACACGGTAATACGAGGTTTGATAGAGTGATGTGTCTGCCCTGGACTATACCAAAACGGTGCCAGGCTTAAAGTAGCGGTTTTTACATGTTTAAAATAGTAACTTTTTTACAAAACAATAAAACAACGTATTTCGCTTAAGTTTTTATTTTGAAATGATAATAGTAATAATAGTAATAACATCAGAAAATGTTAATGATAAACTAAGACAAAGAAATTCTAAAAGAAAAATGTTTCGAAATAAAAGAAATATTAAAGTACCACATTTTTTTATGGAACGCGTTAAAACAATCTAAGCAAAACCTTGGCTGATCCTTACAAGTATGTTATAACAGTATATTATAACCCTTTTTACTTTACTTTTTTTCAATAAACCGTCGATCTTTTTTTGATAACATCCTCTACAATACTTTCTGTTTTCACGGGCTATGCAATCCAATTTAGTAAAAACGAAGACTTTTTAGCTGCGTTGGTTCATCTGTTATTGATGATTGAAATGTAAACATATTTTCAATAATTGATAAACGGAAATCTGTTATGGGCATTGCACTCTCTTCAACTTCCTGGAAAACGAAGTGTGCGTTGACAACGCTAGTCCCCAAAATTGCTTCAATTGCTGCTTTTTTATATCAGCGGATTGTCTTTCGTAATGTGTGCTATAACTGGACATTTGGTCGGAAAGGTCGACTGAGCTTTTACCTTTGTTATAATCTATAATTGCCCTTGGCTTGTTAATTTCTTTACCATGTCTTTGCATCCGAACTGTCTCGTCAGTATGCAAAGTAGAAAGAACCAGCACATGCCTTTTATCTCGCCATTTGAGGAGACATATTCCCCTCTCGTTTTCCTGAACTACTAATTCATCTTTTCTTAGCTTTTTCTTTATAATTTCACTGGGATTTCCTCTCCGATTACCTCGTAATGTGCCTAAGCAATGTGTTTGTTGGTCTAAAAGTATGTGGGTTAATTGAAGGCTGGTATACCAATTATCTATTACGCAGACTCTTCCGCTTCCTAACAGTTCTTGGGATAATTTTAATACAACATTAGTCGCGACAGACAAGTGGGTTCCATTTGCTTGTTCTTTCTCTTTGCCTGCATAAAGGGACATGTTCCAAGTGTAGCCCTTGTCACAACATACCTTGAATACCTTAATTCCATATTTATTGACCTTTTGTGGGTTATATTGCTTAAAAAGTAGCCTTCCCTGAAATGGTATTACAGACTCGTCAATACAAAAAGTCTTTCCCGGCGTATAGATTTTCTTATAATTTCGAACAAGTTTGTCAAAAAGTGGTTGAACTTTGTATAAATGGTCTCCTTCCGTACAAAGCGAATTATCCGAAAAGTGCTACATTTTCAAGAGAATCTCAAAACGTTTCGACTCATGACTTTTTTTGCGACCTTATTGAAAAATATCCACTTTCTTGACCAATAATCTCGTAGAGAATTCATACGAACCATACCCATATAACCTAATAAACCAATAAAATGTATTATTTCTTTCCTATCCGTCGGTTGCCAGCCTTGGACACGGGCCTGGTTAGAAATATGACCGTCTTCTGTTAAGACTTGAGTTGCATAGTGATTCGTTGGGTTCACCATCATGTCAATTACTTCGAAATCCAGAAAAGCTGAAAAGTATTGAATGGGTTTTTCTCCTTTCAATGTAGAAAAATATTCCGGTGAAATTCCTCCATGAAATGTTTCTTCATATATCAGTTGATTTCCCTGTGGCGGGCCCCAAGTAGAAGAAGAAATATCATATAGGTCAACATGTCTCGGATCTTCCTGTGCTACGTCAAGGTCCAAGGTAACAGGATCATTACGGTTTGAACCCGTTTCTTTTTCTATAACTGGTTCTGTCAGGTTGTTGTTATTTGGTACTGCCATCAATAACGTCTAAAAATCGCCTTCTACTTCTTCAACACTGTTTTTTTTTTATATTGTTGTTGCTTATAAGGTTAATTTTGTCAGCTACAAAAGCGCCAGATGGGCCAGGTTTACATAGTAATATGTTTTGTAAAACTTCGAGCTTCGGCTTCTTACTTACAGCGACGTAATCGTTATCTGACTCTGTATCAGTCTCAAAATCGTCAGAACTATCTTGAGGAATATACACTGGATCGTCGTCTGAAGAGCAATAAAAAGAATCTTCTTTATATTCATCATCGTCTGCAAATTACCTATTTTATTTTCAAATAAAAATTAAAATAACGGAAACTTACCATCTGTATCAGATTGATCTTTTTCTAACGCCAATTGCACCAAACGTTTTCCCCGATTATTCATTGTTTTGTTTTTCGCATCCACTGCAAGACTAACAAAAACAACACAAACGCGCTAAACTAGTAGTAAACACAAATGACCTTGATGCGTACCACCTAGTGTCTGCTGATATTTACTGTATGACCAGGCCAAGGCAGATAACGGTGACACTCGTACTTTTGGTAGGGCCAGAGCAGACACCGGTGTCTGCTGTCTTTATAAAAAAAACTAGTTAACCAAAAATTTTAAAAATCGGTGAGTAGTGTTTCAAATCCCCTAAAGAACAATAAAATGACAAAAAACCATGTTGGCCCACAGGGAAGGTTTACTAAAATTGGTCTGGCGCTGAACCTGTTAAGGTGACCACATTATTGATGGATACTTCGGCCGAAGCTTTGTGACATTCTAGTACTAACCCTGAGTAAATTCTGGTACTTGTCTGCTATCGGTATAGATAGGCGTTCCTTTTATTGATATTGTTTCTGGTAACTTCTTTTTCTACCATGAGAATCCACGTAAACTACACTGCTCACAGCCCATTTTATGTTTAGGTTTAAGGATCTTGAGTATATTTCACACCGTGGGCCTTGTTTTGTTTTAGAATCTTCGGTGTAGATATGAATCGTACTTGTCTATTCCATTTATGGCGTTATAACTTTATATGGTTTATGGAAGATATATCCCGATGAGATGGAATCGATGTTCGCTTGAATTAGTGCAAGCGTATCGAGCACCTCCTACTAAACGCGATATCTCACCTCATCATCCTATATCCGGTTCTATTAGGCATTCCAAACTGAATGCCTACCAGTGGGCTTTGACGGGTTATGATATCGCAAAATTATGGCAACCCTGTAGACCTGGTGATTTGACAAGGTCAATTAAATAG